AAAATAACTGATTTAGCTCTTGTAACATGTAGCTTCCATCCCATCCCAACAGAAAAATTTCCCCTGGGTCTACTCCTGTCTCCTACTGTACTTGAAGCCCTTCTGTCCGTCACAGTCTAAGCAGGAGGAAAAAAGAATGAAACAGAGAAAAGATTGCAGATGGTGTTTAAATCCCAAAGACTCTAAAGGAGATGGATGAGGAAAGGGGACTTATGTCAGACAGACCTGGCATTCCAGGCCTATATCTGCCAACTTACCAGCTGTGGCCTTAATCAAGTTACTTAGCTGGTCTCTGCTTCAGCATCTGTAAAATAAAAATCGAAATTTAAAGGCCAATTATGTAATGCATGTGACACATGGTAGGTGACACTTTTATTAGGGAGAGGTGTTGGCTTCAGACTGTCCATACTGACTTTTCTGTATCTTCCTTGGCTGAGATTATAGGACTGAGCTTACTTTTTAAGACTGGTAGGAGTAAGCCAGGCATCAGGTCTCTCCTAGGTTTCTAGGCTGAATTCCATTTCCAAAAACTTTAGAGCCAAATAAACATCACTGTCAGTTTCCCTTTTTTTCAGTCTCTTAGTATTCCCTGTAGGCTCCCTGATTCCTGGTATAAGTTCTATTTCAGTTTAAAAGAGCAAAAAAACCAAACCCTTCTGAGTGCATTCCAATTCATAACAACCCTGTAGGACAGAGTAGAAATGCCCCATGGGTTTCCAAGGCTGTAATCCTTATGGAAGGAGCCCTGGTAGTGCAGTGGTTAAGTCAGCTGCTAACAGAAAGGTCGACAGTTTAAACCCACCAGTGGCTCTGCAGGACAAAGATATGGCAGTCTGTTTCTGCAATGATTTAGAGCCTTGGAAATCCTATGAGGCAGTTCTACTGTGTCTCATAAGGTCATACAAAAGCAATGGATTTGGTTTGGTAATCTTTAAGGAAGCAGACTGCCACCTCTTTTTCCTGTGGAACAACTGGAGGGTTTGAACCAGGGCTTCAAACTGATTCAATCATTGCTGATGAAGTGAAATCAAGATGGACTAGAATTTGCAAAACGCCGGTGCGTGGAATGATAACCAGAATGGGAAAAACTACAGATTGAAGCCCTGGAATGGGAGACCCTGAAGGGGCCTAGTGAGTCCTTTCAGCAGCCTGATGCAGGTGATTGGATTATTGCCAGGACTGTGGAGAGCAACACACACTCAAAGCAAGGCACTAAGCCATGAGCAGGGCATGGTTTCACTGCCAGACAGGAGATTTACTTGCTATGCAACACACATGCTGCCCTTGTTTTATAAGAGGGAGATTAAGTCTAGCAGGATGGCAACCCGTAATTTTCCCCCATTCTCATTGTAGTCTAGACACCCACATTTTGCAAATTTCAGTCCACCATGGTTTTGCTGCTTTGGCCATGACTGAATCAGGAAGAACCGGTTTGAACCACTGACCTCTGGGTTAGTAGGCAAGCACTTAACCACTGCTCTACCATGGCTCCTTTACTGTGACACCCAAACCAAATGCACTGGGTTACACATCCTAAGTAGGTAATCCATTGCAACAAATTATCACTTCTAATTGTTCCCAGTTTTCTGATTGTTTAATTACTGCTTCCCTCTCTCAAATAGACTAACCTATATTTTAAATGGACTTTCCAACTCTTTTTCTTTATAATTAAACAAAGTAATTGACATGAGGAGAGGGTAGCCATTTAAAGGTTCAATTTGCTTATTACACTTTCAGTAGAGGACACAGCACTGAGCCCTGAGATGGGTTGCTTGCCGCCTCCTATTTTCCCACCACTCTCTCTCCCCGCACATAACCAAAAAAGAATCCGTTGAATGATTGAATCCATCGTCTTTCTCTTATCACTAAAAACCAACCAAACCAAACCCACTGCTATCAAGTTGATTCTGGCTCGCAGTAACCTGGTAGAACAGGGTTGTTGTTATATGCCGTCAAGTGAGACCCGACTCATAGTTTCTCCTTGGGTTCCGGAGGCAGGATCACTACGAAGTAGATTGCCCAACCTTCCTTCAGAGGAGTGGCTGGTGGGTTTGAACCACCAGCCTTCTGGTTGGCAGTCAAGTACCTTAGGTCCTATGCTACCAGAGCTCCTGGTAGAATAGGGTAGGGCTGCCTTAAAGGGTTTCCAGGGCTGTACATCTTTCTTCCTTGGAGTAGCTGGTGGGTTAAAACCCACCCGCTGCTGGTTGGTTAGCAACTAAGCGCTTAACACTGCGCAACCAGGAAGCCACTTAGCCACCGTGGTCCCTTAAAATAGCAGAAAGGGCTGTATTAATTAACAACACAAAGGTGAGGATCTTGATTGAAACAAGTTGAGGTGGTAGGTTGACCTGCTGATCACTAGAGGGCAGTGTGTGGATATATTTGCCCTAGGTTTGCTAGTTAGAAGATACAAAGCCATCCCGTCAATAACAAAGTAAGTTTTCAGTCCGCACCAAATGATAAAAAGGGGAATGGCAAACATACTATTTGTCCTTTACGCTGAAATTACAAGAGATTATAACCTTCAGAATTTGGGGTGTTAAAATGTCATTGTTCTTGTTAAAATAATGGTTTTATAAAAATTTGCTTTACTAAGCAAAATTTAAAAGATGGCTATTCAATGTGTGTGTGTGTGTTTTAATTCAACGTTGTGGGTTCCATAATTTGAGAAGGAATTCCTAAGGTATGGAACTTAAGGTTTCATTTCAGTTCTTATTCCTGGATATAAGATAATTGGGCGCTTGACCTTGTTTTTTCCTGAGATAAACAGGGCTGTTGTAATTGGCACACGTCAAAAACAGGGTAAAGGCGGAGCTCCCTGCCTGAAGGAAGAAACGTGGCTGGATCCCCGAGGCCCCTTTCAGTTAACACACCTAGTAGGGCCTTTCTGCCCCCAGCCTCCGGGGCGGCTCCAAATCCCCTCTCTGCTCGTGGGAGTCTTTGTTACCTTCCACTGTCCGGGTCTAGATATCAGTGAGGGTCCCATTCTTCGCTCACCGGGGCTAAAACCGACTCAAACTCCATGGCTGTCCTGTGGGGGTGGAAACGAAAACTCGGCCAGTCCCAGGTGGTCTTGGTGCCCCGCCTGTCCGGCATACTGGAGGCGTGTACGGCAGCTTGGGCGGGTGGCTCAAGGCCGGCCAATGACTGGGGAACGAGCCGAGAGGCCTGAGCAGTCCAATTCTGCGGTACGTCACGGCACTGGCCCCACCCCGTCGTGAGCGTTTGCCTGGCGTCTAGTGGGTAAAGCAGTCGCGTGCGCGGATGCCGAGCCAGGTAAGGGGACAAGACGAGGGGTGGGGGTGGAATTGGTAGGGGAATGGCTGGTAACCTGGGGGGCCGGGGAAGGGGACGGACGCAATCAGTGTTGGCAGCCAGGGGTGCTCCGAACTCCAAAGACAACAAAATTGCTTTTCCTCCAC